GTGGAGTAAAACCAGTGTAGCGGGGAGTAAAAGCAGTATTGCGAGGCGTAACCAACAGCTACAAAGAAACATCCAGATTCTGACGTTTGTTTCTGATTGAAAATGCCAAAACCCCAAGCAACTAATACATGATTTTAGGTCATTCCTTGTTTCCATGGAAGAATGAATCAGAAAGGAATTTCAAGAGATCTCCTACTTATAGAATAAAGATGCTCGCGATATAAGCAAAAGAAGTAACTTTCTCATGACATAATCATCACGTAAATCTTTTTCAAAGTTGGTATTTGTCGTACGGAATGAGTCACTATTTCCCATTAAAAATACTGTTTTCTAAATAGCAATCAGAAAATATTTGGAAAAGTATTTTATGAACTATTATCATCATCACTCCAATGATTGGATGTGGCTATAGGTTTGCTGCAAACTTTGCACTTAACTAGTTCCTTCTCTTGATATATCTGTGTTGAAAGCTGGAGTGAAGGCATATTTTGATCACTGACACGTTGGAGGAAAGATCATTAACTTTCCTAGGAAGGACTCCGTCTAATAATACCGTGTTATCATCGCACTAGATACATACATAGAGATTCGAACCTAGTCCAAGACATTCTGCTAGATAAAAGTTTACACTAGAAATGTTTTCTCCAGCCTTTTCAGGTGTTGTTTTAAAGCAAGCCGTCTATCCACGCTATTCATGAGAAAAGTCTAGTTTTCAGGAAACACTTTAGTAGTCGATGACCTGACTATACGGCATGTAGTAGTACTCTTTGTACTGGACCAGACGCACTCAGAGAGTGACATTACAGAAAAGAAAGATGTTCAAATGAGATGTAGTGTGTCTCGAAAAAAAGACTGTCCAAGTTGTGTATTATGCATAGGGACTATGACACACAAGTATGTATGGAAATTGAATTCTGTAGTATCGGAACAGAAAACAAAGTGAGAGAAATATATGAAGCTGTATTAAAATAGTGAAATTGCTTTCAAGAAATTGGGCAACGCACTATATATATATATATATATATATATATATATATATATATATATATATATATATACTGTTGGAAACAAAGTAAATAGCGTCGCTTTCTGATATTTTGTCCAAACTACTATATGATAATGAATATTGGTCAATTTCTTCACAGATCATCCTGACGAATGAATAGAATGAATATAATATATGAAACAAAAAGAGATATTTAAAAGATATTTCCTCTTACAGTATTTACCCTGATTTTTCTTGGACTCATTATGAGAAAAGAAGGTGTAGGAAGTATAACATTCACTGACATCTCATTTTAATAGATACATTTACCAAAATTGCACTAAATTATTTTGAAATACTAAAGAGTAAATTTCTTCAATAAAATCGCCATTGGCTTCAACCACAGCCTCCAGATGACTTCGGAAACTTCTGCATCCTCTTCTTGACGGTCTCCTTGTCTAAGTTGGTGAATGTTGCCTTCAGTTGATCTTTGGTGTTGCAAAAATATTTCTTGGTCTTCCGTTCAACTGCGCCTCACACATAGTCAAGGAGGTTGCAAACCGGGAGTTAAGTAGTCAGAGTTAAGGGGTAATATCGTCGCAGAAATTTTTTTGCAGTGATGACTTGGTTCTTCTGCGTGTGTGCCATTGTGCAAAGGTCTTCCAGCAGCAACTGTTTTGCTTCAGGGCAGCATTACCTCCTCAAGGCACTTGATGAAGGCCTCCGTGTTGAGTCTGAGGCTCTGTGAGAAGATTAATGTAGGCATATCATCGCCATCACTACTGAACAAAAACACCCTCGTAATCACCATTAGACTTATCCAAATTTTTCCGAATCATCTGAACTGTCTTCGGATTGACACCCAAACGTTCTGAAATGTTCGTATTGGAGATTTCCAAATTTATGACACGCCCAATTTCTGATAGTGCACTTTTTGATACAAATAACCCAACTATACTGGGCATTTGACAACATCGGTAACAAACAAAGCGCATGTGCGAAATTAAAAATATAAAACGGAGAATATTTACACATTGCACCCTCTCTATATATTGGATCATAAAGAATTAATGACTTTAATTCCTCTTATCACAAATGTTATATTAGTGGATACCCGTAATTGAGTAGACGCACCGTTTCTTTTAATCATTATTCATTAAGTCTACCAACATGCGTACACGAGAAAACTTAATAAAGAATATTTGCCTTCAAACAGGAATCGAACCTACAACCCGTTTTGCAGGTGGAACCACTTTCTGCTTTTACCTCCCGGCTACGAAAATCCTAAGAAGAAAGTAATATTATATTTTGCCTTGAAAGTAGACTAAATCTGAAGGAAGCAGTATGTCTTAAATTTAAAATAGAATCTTGTTTTATTGATACCATAGAATCACTTGACGTTGGAAATCTGTTCACTAACATTGAACATATGATATATATATATATATATATATATATATATATATATATATATATATATAATATAATATATATATAAGTTATGAAGTAATCCGTATGGGTAATCCCAAGGAGGATGAAATCCTGAGAGCTCAATGTAAATCCAGAGATAATATTTAAAAGAAAAACAGATCACTTTAAGGTACCATTATAATAATTTATTTCACTAGAGTCTTTTTAATGGACGCCGGATCATCAGATAGCACTTCCAAAAATGAAATGAAACGAAAAATCTTTCGTTTTCGGTTTTTCGTTTCATTTCAATTTTGGAAGTGCTATCTGATTTCAACACTGATATTTTTAGTCTTTTCGTTTTGTTTTTAATTTTTTCCCTGATACCAATTTGGTTAATATTATTTTGTTTGCAAATAGTTTTATCGGGTTATTTTTCACACCAGTCGTGTGTAGCTATTGAAATAATAATAATAATAATAATAATATATGTGTCCGTGTGTATGTATGCGTGTATGTGTATCGGTAGAAGAGACAAAACGAATAAAAAAAAGAACAATAATTAGCCGAGGCCATTTGTTATTTGAGGGACTTTGTCTAGGCAATGTAGCCTTTATTAAGCTGCACTGGTATATGTAAAGAGAGACGAAGATGACATAGGGTTAACAAGGCCCAAAGATTTCAGAATATTCATGTTCATCACGTGATTGAAAGGTCAGTAAAAGTAAAGTGCCCTAATTCAAAATCAGATCAAATGAAAAATGATCGAGAAATATAAAATAATTTTTTATGAATATTTTGATTAGATAGTTATGGTATGAGAAGGACGTATGTGTTGTACATCTTCAAAGGCAAAAATGATGAAGCTAAAAGTTTTCTTTTGATTTTACAACATATTTGTTGTTGGGTATTTTGGCATGTGAAAGTATTAATTAATTCAAGAAAGGTGAGATTGGAAAGAAACCGGGGAATAGGTTTATACATTTTTATGAATATTGTGTGGATTTTGATTAGATTGTTATGGTATGTGATGGATGTATATCTTTAAAGGCTGAAATGATGAAATTAATAATTTTCTTTTGATTTTTCAACATATTTCTTGTTGTGATGTTGGGTTGGAAAAAAACCGGGGCATAGATTTATATTTTGATAACATTCAATAGCGGCACTCTCGAGTATTTTCTTCCCGAATTAATTACTTTTTATGGCTGCGACTTTTTCTATTTAAAAATTATGGTAGAATTTATTTCTGCGTATGACTAGTGCATTATTTAAATTGTTATTTATGTGGTCTTTTTCCTGTTCATAAATACATTTTTTTAAAAAAATTTCTGTATGTTCCCCCAGTGTATTGTGAGGAGGAGTTTTCACTATTTATTTTATATATGCCTGATTCTGAATTATTATTGCTTTGTATTTCTGACTATATCCCACTATTTTGGAAGGGCTTTGAGTATTCAGATGTTGTTCAAATTGCGTAAGTGCTGTAGATAAACACGTGCACAATAATCAGTACTACATTGCCTGGTTAAATCCCTCAGGGAACGAATCGCTTCGGCTGAGAATATTATTTCCTCTTGTCACTTTTTATTCAGTCATATTCTTGCAACTTTCTATTCATATATATATATATATATATATATATATATATATATATATATATATATATATATATATATATATATATATATATATATATATATATATTTTTTTATTTATGTTTAACGTTGTTATTTTATATAAAAAAATGTCTTTAATAAATGAATTGTCGGACCTATTTCTATATATATATATATATATATATATATATATTCATCCATTATGTTTGTACGTTATGTAGTCGGAATATATTTGTACGAACGACATACTAAACATGATATGTTTACTAAAATTTCATGTGATTACCTGCCTTTTATTCATATATTTTCTTGTCTCTTTTTATTTTTATTTATTCTCTCTGTCTTTTTTTAAAAAAATTTTTCAAGGTAATTAATGGTAATTGCTCCGATGAGCTGCTTTCGCTGGTTCCCAGACTTCATGAATTCAAGCGTCCTACGAGGCTGGCTGTTGAAACTGTTAAATGTAGCCGTCTCTTTTACTTCAATCGCTTCATATCTCGCATCTCTCGCCTGTGGAAATCCCTCCCCTTTTCCTGTTTCCTGATAACTATAATCTCCAACTATTCAAATGTAATGTCAATCGACATCTCAAGTTGTCTTGATCTATCCACTATCCTGCTATTCATCCTTTCCTCTATCACTCCTATCTGCTCTCGCTCCAAATCCTCTGGAACCCCTTGCGTACTAGTGGCTTCTCGCCTTCCTTGGTGGTGAAATGCTTAAAATTTGACCATTTTGACCACAGTCGGCAGTCGGGTGCACTTGATTGAGTAAGAGATGACCAATCACGGTTCCCCCGACCGTCGCAGTGGTTTCATACGTTTGGACGTGCAAATTCATGGTAGGTCTTTTAGTCTGAATTTGAATTCCGAAGCGGCAACCCAGCTGCATATATATATATTTTTTTATACTTTGGGGTATTGCGATCCGAGCAATGATTCGCTTAGAGCACTGAAAAATTCGCTTTCCTCACTCAACCCAATTCGATGATTTCAAGTATACGACGAGGACTCAAGAGATGGAATTTAACCGATAGAGCTGAGACACATATTCATGAATTGACCACATTATGTTGCACAGCCTCTTTTGAGACACTTCGTAGGCTAGCAGGTGCTCACCTCCCCCACTGTTCACCCCTCTCTATCCATCTATCTATCTTCCTTTCATCCTTCTTCCTTTTCTTTCTTCTGATCTATCTATCTATCTATCTATCTTGCATCCATCTTATCTATCTATCTATCTATCTATCTATCTATCTATCTATCTATCTTTATCTATCTATCTTGCATCCTTCCTCCTTTCCTTTTCTTCTTATCTCTATCTATCTATCTATCTATCTATCTATCTATCATCTTGCATGTTTCCTCCTTTCCTTTTATTCTTATCTATCTATCTATCTATCTATCTATCTATCTATCTATCTATCTATCTATCTATCTATCTATCTATCTATCTTGCATCCTTCCTCCTTTCCTTTTCTTCTTATCTATCTATCTATCTATCTATCTATCTATCTATCTATCTATCTATCTATCTATCTTGCATGTTTCCTCCTTTCCTTTTATTCTTATCTATCTATCTATCTATCTATCTATCTATCTATCTATCTATCTATCTATCTATCTTGCATCCTTCCTCCTTTTCCTTTTCTTCTTATCTATCTATCTATCTATCTATCTATCTATCTATCTATCTATCTATCTTGCATGTTTCCTCCTTTCCTTTTATTCTTATCTATCTATCTATCTATCTATCTATCTATCTATCTATCTATCTATGTATCTATCTATCTATCTATCTATCTATCTATCTTCTATCTCTTCCTCCTTTCCTTTTCCTATCTATCTATCTATCTATCTATCTACATCTGTTAGCTGGAATCTATCTCTTTCTCTCTTTTTCCCTCTCTACATTTTACTCATATATGCAACTTACAGCCACGGGTGTACGCATGCTGATTCATACACTCACACACAATCAAGCACATATCCATGAAAAATATAATCACGTTTGCAGCTTTCTTTTTCCTTTAATTTTTCTGGGTATAGCAAATTCACGAACGCACTTCAACATTCACAAGTTCAAAAGAATCATATGTCACATGTCGACATCTCGAACGCGTGCGCTTGCGCCTGCGCATGCGCCTGCGGATTTCTTTTCCGCTTCTTGCGAACAAACCGATGTTGTTAAATGTAAAGCTCACAAGATCTGTCTTCGGGCATCGTTCGTTTGGAGCATCGAATGAATTTTTTTTTCTACTTTCATAAGATGACAATGAATCTGCTTCGAGTTTTATTAACTGCATGACGAAGATAAAGACATTCTATCGCGAAGACAATATTTCAAAACATTTAATTATTCAGAAAAGTTAAACAATTCTTTTTGTCTGTGACCTACTTTAGTCGATTTTCTGGTTTTATAATACTTTCTGCGTCGAGATAATGATTAATATTGTCTTCATTGTTGAAGTAACAGAAAATACAGCATTTACGCCTTAACAGAATAAGAATATTCATTTTTCATTATTTAATTTATAAAGCTAAAGTTTGGAATGTTCACACGAATATTAATTAAATAAAAGTTTGTAAGTCAGTGAGTGCTTGTGAGTGTGTATGTAAATATTACGTAAAACTATGCTATAAAGTAAATAAAATGTTGTGTATTCCGGGATGAAATCAGGTACCAATAAATAACAAACGCCAAGAAGAAATATAGGAAAATAAATGTATTAATGTAATAATACAAAATGGTAATGCAGGTTAGTAGTTACAGAAATGCGGGTTAGTAGTATATATATATATATATATATATATATATATATATATATATATATATATATATATATATATATATATAGTCTTTTGGTATCGACGTATCACTGTATGACTTCTTACTGAGTCTACGTGCTTGCTCACTGTGACACTTGCTCGTTCTTTCTTCTTTCTCGTTCTTCTCCCGGGTATTCACTAGCAATAGTATATGTATACCCTGGGTGAGTCCATTTGTGCAAAAAGGGGAGAACCCCTCAACATAAAGTTTTATCAAATATACCTATATGTGTGTTATATCTTATCTAACATAAAATTTCTTTAATATATTTCCCATGTAGGTTTATAAAACGATTTATTAAAAGGGTGGAAGGGTCAAGAAAATGTGGTTTAAAAATTGCTTACTCGTTTTTCTCCGTCATTAGGTGCAAATGATTGCGCATCCCAAACTTCATAAATATGTTGAGTATTAAAAATTATTTTATTGGGACTTGGAATGTGAGACGTCTTCAGGATTGTAAAAAGAATCTTGAATGTTGGACTGCTTTAATTGCTCTCGTGCTAATAAAGAAAAACATCGGCATATTTGCTCTTTAGGAATGTAGACTAGCTGGTTTTCGTCTGCTAGATGAGGTTGATAGTAGATACACATTTTTCTGGATTGGTTTGCCTGGGTCAGCAGAGAAAGAAGCAAGAGTCGGGTTTGATATTCGGAACGGTCTGTTGAAAGATCTGGAATCTCTACCTGTTGGCATCAATGAGTGAATTGTCGTTTTGAATTTGCAGAAGTTTGCAAACATCTTTACTTGCTATGCTCCATTGATGAAGTCTAGTGAAGACATTAAGAAGAAATTCTACTCTGAATTACGCAAAGTAGATGAGAAAGTCTTCAATCCATAATAAACTTCTTTTCCTGGCCGATTCTAATACACAGGTAGATTGCGGTACATCAATATGGAATAGCGTAACTGGTAAACATAGTTTTGACAAGGCCAACTCAAATACTCATCTACTGATTTCACTTCGTAGCGAGTAGAAACCGTTAATACCAAGACCATCTTCATGCTTCTTGATCCCCGCAAAACTAACAGAAAATATCCCCGATCCAACTATCATCTCATCGACAGTGATTTTTCCAGAAGTTTTTTTATCATTTCACCCTCATGTAAGCAAGGAAATAAAGCCACTATGATGCAAGGGGATACTAAGTGTTAGAGATTATGAAAAAAAGCTATGATAAAGGAGAGAGGACAATAAAAGAAAAACGATTAAAAGGCGGTAGATAACGATTGATATTGCATTTAAATTTCTGAAGGTCAAAGTTGACTCGATATTTCCCAAGAATAGAAGAAACCTAGACATCTAAACTTTAGGATGATGAGACCTAGCTGCCAATATAGCACTGCGTTTAAATTCATAAAGTCTATGTACCATAGTGAAAAATTCATCTGAACAATTTCCTTGGAAGTATTTATAGAAAAAAGGCACAGCGAAGCTAGATTACCGCCGTGAGAAAGTGACTGAAGCCGAGATGAAGGTGAGGTTCATCGGAGCAATTATCACGAAAGCAATTAATGATAAGGCACAAGGAAGATACGTCAGGGTGGTTGGAATGGGACGTAAGTCGAGATGCCAAATCAATACCAATAACATTGCAGATTTTTCTTTTTTATTTTTTCAAGATTCTCTAAATACATGGCAGGAGCACATTGCCAGATGTAGCGCAATAAGGTTAACGTCTATAGAGAACAGTTTGTATAAACATTAGGTTTTTTTCAGCATTAAGGTCCACAAACTCAACTTCCAGAAAATTCTAAGTGTAGAAAACTCAACACTAGAATATATATATATATATATATATATATATATATATATATATATAGTCTTAACGTGTGCTGTATTTATGGGATAAAGTGCCCAATATAAGGGATACAGAATGTGTATATATAAAAGTGAACACTGAAGTCGACATAGAGGCGATAGTCTGTTTCATGATAGACGCAATCGTCAGGCCACGAGAACACTGGTGGTCTGACGATTGCGTCTAGCATGAAGCAGACTGTCGCCTCTAAGTGTTGACTTCAATGTACACTTTTATATATGCATATATACATACATATATATATATATATATATATATATATATATATATATATATATATATATATATATATATATATATATATATATATATATATATATATATATATATATATATAAAGATATATATATATATATATATATATATAGATTTTGTGTTACTGTGTGCCTATTTTTCATAGGAAATTTCACAAAGTTTTGATCATATAGCATGATATCTGAAAATATTTGGTTCTTCGTTCTTTATAGCCGACATAACATGAAACCTTTTATTCACATCTTATAAAATGACATTATACTCTCTCAAAGATAAGTTCAGTATTACCAGGCTAGTATTTTACTGACATTTGTATGTCAGTAAAAATTCTATATTATTCAATTTATTATTTAATGTCTAAATCATTGACGTTAGATTCGTTTCAACATTTCCTCGTATCCGATTTGGACAGGATAAATGTCCATTTAAATTTTACAGAATTTCAAAACGTTCATAATTCGGCTCAGGCACAATTTACTAAATCTTGCCAACTATTTCACAGTGCATTTATTTCATCACGAAAATTATAAATCAACAAAATTATTTACAAAATTGTTTTTATTACGTCAATTTTTCTCATAATGTAAAGCCATGTTATATATATATATATATATATATATATATATATATATATATATATATATATATATATATATACTAAATTAAATATAACCAAGCTAGTCATCCATAATAACTTTCCTGCATCAACATAGCGTCTTAAAAAAGACCAACGTCCAATTTAAATGTCTTTTGGAAGATTGCATCTCTGTTAAAAATGCTAATGCATATGATAGTTTTACAACAATGTCAATGACGAGAAGGTTTGCGTTTCACTTGTATGATCATGATTTAGTCTCAGAGCATTTAAAGCAAATTTATGTGCACATTCACAGTTTCGACAGATATTGGTCGAAAATACATCAGTGCTTTATTAAGATAATACTAAGCAAAAGCTTCAAATTCTGGAAGCCCTTTATATAAAAGAATTTCGGGCAAAAATAAATAGTCAAATACCTGTGTAGTAACAATTTTTTTAGGTGTTTGTAGCAGCAAAGTATTATAAAATATACTAAATTAAAATACTACACTTAAAAAATCTAAATATAAAAATACTAAATTACTATACTGCAATTACATAAGTTATCTCCCTTCCATAGAGGTAAAAATATTTAGAATTTACGGTGTTAACGCATAACACTTCCATAGATATACAACACCTGAAGATGGTTTCAGATGAGATTGAAAGTACTTGGGAAAATAAAAATCATTTGAAAAGAAATTTAAAAATTTTCCTGAATCCATGTTCTACAGCCACCAAGAAATTAATTCGTTGACTTGAAGTGATTAAAACCAAACAAATAGGTATAATAAATCTAAATTATTTAACTAAACATATATATATATATATATATATATATGATTGAAATCATTAGGAGGATTTGAGTCTAGAAGAAGCCTCAACAGAATACACAGGACGGCTGCTTCGCCCTATACTTGGGACACATCCAAATACCATGCGCATCCACTACTGAGAATTGAACGCGCACCGTCACAATAAGACGCAAGCGCCATGCCAACTGTACCAATGAGCCTCGATGGCGAAGCGGTAACGAATTTGGCTCGACATAGCGCTGCTCTTCACGAAATCCGTGGTGTAACTCAAACGAGTTTCCCTAACCCAACGGACTGTGCCCCTACGAGACATGAATACTATCCCCAAGCCGCTCCATCCAGAGCTTTAGAATGTTGCGTCGTATCGTAACGGCTAGGGTTCAATCCTCGGTAGTGGATGCGTACTGATGATGAGTCCCAAATATAGGACGAAACGGCCATCCAGTGCTTTATGCATTATAGTGAGTTTTCTTCTAGATTCGATAAATTACTTAATTATGATGATATCAAATCCTTCTAATAATTTCTATCACTTGTATAACTTTACATGAACGGGCTTCTAATACTGTGGATGCTA